CCCCCCCCTCCTCTTCTTCTATTCTTTTGTTGTATTTTGATGGAATGCTGCAATTAGTTATTTGTGCAGCAATTGTCAAGATGTGTGAAGATGTTGATATTGGCAATTAGCTGTATTTTTATACGCATTCTATTATCTGAATGTGTGAGAATTTGTAAGAGCCTTTATCATGCAGATGTCGGCAGACAATACTTCATCATCCAAGTGACATGCACATATTCCTTGAACAAAATGTACAAAGGTCTTCAAACTTATGCTTCAAATATATAATTTTTAGTTCATTGCCTAATATTTTGAACTTGTGGGCATAATTGATTACCGCTCTACGACATTACAGGTAAATGTTGGGTATTATGACACTCAATACTGTATTTGTTGACAATACGTATGTTGTATCACTGTGCACTGGTGCTACTGTGCACGTGATAAAGCCATGCTCAAACGGATGAGTCTGATTTCTTTGGTTTATATATTAAGAATTTAATCTCATCCAGACTTCCGTTCTAAATTAAACTTGCATCTAGAAAAATCAAAAGCTGAACAAGTTTCAATTAAGGATACAAAATTATAGAGTCACACTCTAAATATTGCATCCATTTGTAGAATCGGCGAGAAATTTGGATCAGAACAGGTTTGGAGGCGCATGAGTCGTTTTGGATGCTGCGCGGTCGACCGCGGTGCAAGGCCGGTCGACCGCGGTGCAAGGCCGGTCGACCGCGGTGCAAGGCCGGTCGACCGCGATCGTGCACGGATCCACGTGGTCGACCGCCACGGTCGACCGCGAGACCCTGTAGGCGATTTGTGGCTCTGTCGTTTGATCGCGGTAGACCGCAGGCTTTTGGCGGTCGACCGCCAAGCGGGTCAGGCCTAGTTTGAGGTTCCTGTTCAGTTTGGGTTTGGTATTTGCTATAAATACCAACATACGAATTAGGGTTTCTTTGGCTTTGATTGGAGATTGGTTGGGGAGATATTTGGAGCACAGAAAAAGGAGAGTTTTTCTGAGCAATTGTTTGAGGGTTTATTTGGAGAGATTAAGAGCTTTGTTGGTGAGATTAGTTTGTTCCTTCGAGTGATTTGTAATCTCAGTTTGTACTCTTCTTCTATATTAGTGAAAACCTAATCCCCTTCTTGTCCCGTGGACGTAGGTAATTTGCCGAACCACGTAAAACTATTGTGTTTGGATTTGTGCGTTGTTTTGATTTGTTTGGCCTTTATCTCGACATTTGTTTAATTTGGTTCTCGAAGCACGCCTATTTGGTTGTCCCGCTTCCGCGCCGCGCACAACAATTGGTATCAGAGCTCCGGATTTCAGATCTAGGGTTTTATCTTGGTTGGAGGAGTAGATCGATTTGGGAAGCTCGTCTAGGATTTCAGTTGGTGAGAAAGGTGGGATCTTTTTGGTAAAACTTCTTTCTTTTCTCAGTTTTGGATCTATTCTTCGTTTGTTTCCGCATTGGTTTGTTGGCGCTTGGGCTATTTGGAGGAGTAGATCGCTTTGAAGGCTCTTCGAGGGCTTCGTTGGAGATAAATGTGAGATTTTTCCTATTTGTGGATCTCGTTGCCGTCGTGTGGGGTGAGATCGTTTAGAGACTCTTGTTAGGATTTCAATTGGAGGTAAAATTCTCTCCTTTATCAGTTTGGATCTATTCTTCATTTGTTGGTGCTTTGAGATAATTGGCCGAGATAGAAGGATTTGAGGCTGGGTTATTTGATTATTGATACGGTACATTGGATTATTGAGAAGTGCCCTTGACCTGCATATTGAAGTCCTTTGAGCACATTGATATGAGAAAGGAGACCGAGATGGAGTTTGGCACTTCTATTCGATGATTTAGGGGTCTTCTATTTGGTGTTCATTCAGGCATTTGGGAGCCTTCTAAGGAGGCATCATTGGAAGGTAAATTGGTATTTTGATTTCCTATGTTGGGGATTGTACTAGGCATTTATGGGTTGCAACCAAGTCCCGTTGGTTTTAAAGTCCTAGTAGTCAACAACAGTTGAAGAAGTGTATTGGGAGTAAGGTGAAGGTACTTCATTCTGATTGTAGAGGGAGGTACAAGAGGGACCTACTGTATTTGTGCTGAGCTCATGGCAGTTTGAGACACTTCATTGGAGAGGAAACTTTGGAGCGACGAGATGAGATGATAGTTTTGATGGGTCGTTCATTTCTGGAGGAGGATCAGCATTGGTTGTCGAGCATTGGTTCTAGTTCTGGAGTTTCGACATTTTTAGGTCATCTTAGTCATAGGTCGTCGACTGCTGTATTAGGAGCTATTGGATCTGGTGGAGCTACTTCAGATTTTGGTTGGTGTCGGATATTTGGTTACCCAGCATTTGGTCACACCGAGGATGTGAGATTTGATCCGATTGTACGTTTGGGATTCGGAGGCTCGTTTGATTATCGTTTGGGAGCTTCTAATTTCGTTCTGAGCAGGTATGTCACTTTTGACTCTCGATAGGTGGAGAGTGTTGATCAGATCGTTTGGATATCACAGCGAGTGGAGGGTGATGCTACTCCATATTGGGTGGATATTATTCCACATACTCCAGGTCATTCTGCATTATTTGGGATTTCAACTGAGGTGACACAATGTGGGAGTCATTTGGTTTCGGATGCAGATGACGTGTTGATTGATTTGAGTGCAGCTGATAGGCATAGTTTGGACATGGCCATTGGTTCACCTCAGGTAGAGGTGTTTGGATCGTTTCAGTTTGAGGCCATTGGAGGTGCTATCAGTCGTAGATTTGGTGATGATGGAGGAGGGTTGCGTGCTCTTCTATTGGATTGAGGGCCTTTGAAGGCCGTTTGGGTGAACTACGTGAATGCTTGATTCCTTAGGCAAGAGGATACGTAGGCAGTCAGTTTTGATGCAGCCGATTTGGTGAGTAGACATCGACGTTTGGGTGAGTGTTCGCACTCTCGTTTGGGTCTCGACTTGTGTGGATGGAGTCCGTTGTCGTGAGTCCGTTGTCATGGCGTACTGGATGCAACAAGTGAGGCATTTGGCTTGGTTGGTGTCGGCTCAGTTTTGGAAGAAACTTTGCTGAGGTGGAGAATTGTAGAATCGGCGAGAAATTTGGATCAGAACAGGTTTGGAGGCGCATGAGTCGTTCTGGGTGCTGCGCGGTCGACCGCGGTCTTTTGGCGGTCGACCGCCAAGCGGGTCAGGCCCAGTTTGAGGTTCCTGTTCAATTTGGGTTTGGTATTTGCTATAAATACCAACATACGAATTAGGATTTCTTTGGCTTTGATTGGAGATTGGTTGGGGATATTTGGAGCACAGAAAAAGGAGAGTTTTTCTGAGCAATTGTTTGAGGGTTTATTTGGAGAGATTAAGAGCTTTGTTGGTGAGATTAGTTTGTTCCTTATAGTGATTTGTAATCTCAGTTTGTACTATTCTTCTCTATTAGTGAAAACTCAATCCCCTTCTTGCCCCGTGGACGTAGGCAATTTGCCGAACCACGTAAAACTATTGTGTTTGGATTTGTACCGTTGTTTTGATTTGTTTGGCCTTTATCTCGACGTTTGTTTGATTTGGTTTTCGAAGCACGCCTATTTGGTTGTCCCGCTTCCGCAGGGCATCTCCAACCATGCTCCATTTCCCGCGCCATTTTGGTGCAGCAGGACTATTCCTTCTCCAACCATGCCCCATTTCCCACGCCATTTTGGTGAAAAGGAACAGTGCGACGCAAATATGGCGTCGCACTGTTCATCGTGATATTACTGTCTGTTCATCGTGATATTACTGTTCATCACGACATTTTTTGGCAGTATCAATAATAAAAATATAATATTTTAGCAATCAAGTTATTTTAATTAATAAAATAATATTTTATTATTTTATTAGTTTAATTTTTTAAATAATAAATCATTTTGTTTGAAAAATATGTGAAAAAAATAAAATTTGATATGTGGGGTTAATTGTTGAAATAGTTAAAAATATAGGGAATAAAAAATAATAATATAAAAGTAGATAAAAATGAATATACTAAGAATATTCTTTTCGATGCAAAAAATGGTGCAATAGGTTGGAGATGAATTACTGTTTGATATGATTTTTGTATCATTTTGGTGCAAAATTTACACCATTTTGATGCGATGGGTTGGAGATGACTTTAGAGGGCCTAGAGCTCATGTTAGTTGGTTAGGTCAAAATTCCCGAAGCAACTATGGAAAACACAGCTGCATCCAAAGGGCACTAGAAAAAAAAAGGTATCATACAAAGAGCACAGATTCTAAATGAACCAAAAAAAAAAGATTTGAGAAGGTTCATAGAAAAGATTTGATCTTTAAGAGTGGTAGGCATTACTTTTGGTACATAATGACTTATGATGAATCCAAGGATTGGGCTGATTACGGTGGTCTCCTCACCAGAGCTTGAAAATCATTGTCTTCCCCCAGCAAATAAGTCAACCTAGATCTTGGAGAAGATTGAGAGATAGCATAAAACTTTCGCTCAACTTCGAGCTGTTAGGGCTTTTTTTATATAGCTAATGAAATGAAGAAAGAAATGGAACTTCTATGAAAGATGAAACGAAGCCAAATTCCATCCATTTACTTCCTTAATATTTTCATCAAAACAAATGCGTAATTTTGGTTGTGGGATTCTTTGCCTCACAAAACTATTTGTTGGGATATCAAGGTTTTTTTATAGATTCGCATGAATTCTATAAAATACATTGTAGGCGTCAAAAATTACCTATAGGTCCCCGAATACAGCTCAAGACAAATAGAAGGCGATGAACGTCATTATCCGAGTCGAAGAGGATTATCCGACGCCGACAAACGCATGAAGCGAATCGGCAAACCGTTGATGACACGACAACGAACCACCACAACGGCAAACGTCAAGTGGCCCGCACGCGTCAATCAACTCAAAGCGTCCAATCGCGTCCAACAGTCAGTTAGCACGCGCGCATCATTCAGCTCGCGTGCGTCAATTAGCTCACGTGCGTCAAATCAATCCGCTCACACGCGTC